GTTGCCATTGACCACGAAATTGAAGAAGAAACAGCTCCAGTTACAGGTTTTAAGGTAGGGAACAACTCACTCCATTTCTGCAGCTGTCAACTGATTAGAATTAATGAAATTACACTTTGTAAGTTTCTGTTTTATGTATGTTCACCACACAGTTTATGTTGTTCATCAATGTTATTAAGCTTAAAATGCCAGATATATTACATTAAATTAGGTTTATGTGATGAAAAATGTACTTTTACGGAGTACAAACCGTGTCCTTAAATTAATTTGGCTGCAGACTATATTCTATTTTATCCTCATAGGCAAACACATGAATAACCGCAGATTAAGAGTCATTGATCTGACTTTTGCTGAGTCACTATCTATTTCTCCACATGAATGACTTGACCTGATACTGTAAGAAATAAAATCAATGTTTATATGGCGTAATTTAGATTAAATACACTGTTTTAATTTAGAACAGTTTTTATTCAGAAAACCGGAAGTTCACACAACGACTTCCGGTTTTGCAAGTAAATATTGTTAGCTTCAATTTAAGGTTAGCATTAGCATGTGGCTAAAGGCTACGTTTTGAAACAGTGAATTTCAGGTGAAATGACACGTAGTGTTGTACACTAAACACACTGTCTTTAACCCTCACTTATTGACACTGAAATACTTTATATGGGAATGTTTAAATAACCACAGACATTAGAATATTGTAAATTAACAACAGAAAAACGCCAGGAAGTGCCTTGGACCCGCCCCCGTCGAAACCGGCAAATAGGAGAAGACTACAGTTGATAACCCGTGATGGACAGAGGAAAACGATCTCTTTCACCCGGCTGACCCCACGTGAACGGGACAACGGGGGGAAGCAGCTGCTTTTGCATATTCCATTTGTGTCACCGTATCATTTGTTTAAAGGGGACCTATCATGCAAAATGCACTTTTGTACGTCTTTTATACATGAATATGTGTCCCCGGTGTTCCAGGGAACTCACCAAGTGTCGGAAAACTCAACCCTCTCTATTTTCCTCCATACCCAAATCTCTAAAAAAGGGGCTGCAACGGATCTGATAAAAACTGATCCAGATTTGAACACTGTCCTGACGTCAGGACGGTGGCGCTACGGCTATTGGGCCAACTCCACCAATCAGGAGGAGACAGCCACGGCCATTGCCGTTCGAAAGCGCTGGAGACGCTGTAGTACATATGCCAGGCCTGTAAGTGGCGCTGTAGTCTGACACAAAAGCAGCGAAGAAGACTTGGTTACCATGGTTACCCTTCTGTTTATTCTCCACTGTGGCTTTCTTTCTCCCTCCCCGAGGCAAGCGTTTGCTCCCGCTGCAATGCAATCCCTCCCCGTCGAGGCAAGCACTGTAATTCTCTCCGGTTAGTCCACCAGCAGAAGACAAACACCCACTTCTCCGCCTCTTCCAAGGAACGAGGGGACCGTGCGGCAGAGTTTCAGTTTGTTTCGCCGGTCAAGATGTCCGTTAAAGTTGAAATCTTCCGGACAAAATTAGAAAAGTGCTGGTCAAAGGTCTTCTTTGTTATTCATTGGGCTTTAAAACAAATGAATAACGACTCTATATAATAAAACACGAGGACAGAGATCTCTTTTTCTCCCCCTCTTCTGACAGCCCAGCAGCTGATTAGAGCACGTCTCCCCTCTCCTGCAGGGGGGCGTGGTCAGCAGAATCAGACCCGTAGACAGCAAACAGCACATAGAGCGAAATGAGGCATGGCTAAAATGCATGATCTGTTTGGTATTTTGAAAACAGAAACGTATAAATATACCTTATATAGGTATGGCCCTACAATATATCATTTAAATATAGCATGATAGGTTTCCTTTAATTAAATGCTGTTAACTTTTGAGAAAGCTTCCTTGGACTCTTTTCAGCTAATCCTGCTCTCAGGTCTAAATCACCTATACCCTATCACATTTGAGACCTATAACATTTCATTCAGTCTGAACAAAAAACACTTTTAACAGTCCAGTCAAATAATAAAAAAATAAAAAAAACTTTGTGATATATTAAAGTAGGAAGTAGAAATTAATGCTTATCTCCAGATTCCCGGAAATCTGAATTAAAATAATCCTCTTTTGAATAACTGTAAGTGATGACAGCCTAATCTTGCCTTTTATGTAAGAGGAAACCAGGACTTGTAGATTGATTTGCTACCTATCAGATGGGGATCACCCAAGCGGTTGATGCACATTCTGCAAGCAAAACCTCTGCTTCAACATTTGAAAAGGTCCATAAAATATCATCATGCAACACTGACTCTGGATGCGCGTTCTGTTGTTGACTTTCAACACATTTGTATACAGACCAGCGGGGGACACGACACAAATTGATTCCCAGAGAACCTATCCTCTTTTTTGGCAGAATTCTCTAAAATGAAAAAATCCTTGGCAATCTGGCAGTATCTGCAGTGTCCTGATGGTTCCTTTTTTTTCTCCACCAATGTTTCCACAGTAAACACATTGAATGCTTCTTGTGAGTCTTGTTAAGAAGATCTCTGAGTTGGCTGACCTGGTTTGTGGGCAGGGCCAACAAGAAAACAGCTGTCTTTCTCATTAGCTCTTCCCTAGTCTCTTGAACCCCCCTCTCTTTCTAAACACACACAGACACTCGCACACACCCTGTCTGATGGAAAGCCAATAACACAATGCTTTTAGCACCTTGTGAACATGGCAAACAGCTGTTTCCTGTCACACATTTCAGGGTTAGTTGTGTGTGCACCCTGGTATCACCAAATGGTGTATGATAAACATGTTAATTTCTTAAAAAATGTGTATGTTATCAGTCTGTATTTTTTGACCCCAGCTGATGATGTAGTATAATGAGTGAAAAGATTCCACAAAAGGGAGAAGGACTGGATGGATGTAAGGGCAGCTGTAGGTGTTCCATGTGCTTAAGTTATGTAATGAACTTACTTTTATTAACCAACACCTTTTATATTGTTTATACCTTGACAATAAGTTATTTTGCCAGCTATCTTTTTTAATTCATAACATTAAAGGTGGTAAGGTAAGTTTGAGAAATCGGCTCGAGATACACTTTTTGTTATATTCCATGGAATGCTCTTAACATCCCGATAGCAATGAATATCTTAAGTGCTTTGACAAAAAATCCATAAAAAAATGTCATCTGTGGAAGCCGTAATACTGTAAAAAGTACGACCAATCATTTTAGCCAGCCCGGCTAAAATAATTGGATGGCCTACCTGCCTGTCAGCCTTCCATCTGTGCACAAACTTATCTCGTGCCCTCATTGGTCATGTGCGCGTTCGTGTGTGTTGGAGGAGGGGCTCTGTAAGGAAGTGGCAGATTTTTTCCGGCTGTGTATTTTCAAATTCTAGCGCACTCAACCTGGTTTCTCCAAAATTACCTACCCCACCTTTAACAATGTGTTTTAAACTGCAGCAATGTGTCCGTATATAATGATTAGCGCTGGCTACTTTACTTTCATACTTTACGTAAATGACTTAACACACATACCCATTTGAACCCAAATTTGATATTTTCTTAACCTTACCAAGTTGATTATTTGAATTGACAATGTTAACCACATGTTCAAACTGCGCTGAAATCTGTATCAGACAAGATGGGAATGAAACATGACCTGCTAAATGTCCTTAAATGAGATCATGTTAGTGTGGTTAAGATGAACATTCTTGGTGTCATCTCAGTTGAAATAAACCAGTTTGTTTCACTATAAATAACAGCTGAAAAACAAAGGTTTGAACAGTTACTACTGTACAATCACGTTACTTGTGTTGGCTTTAAATGTGAAGCATTGGTAATATGTTCGTATCCAGGACTTCCTTACCATGATTCACCACGACTGAATGAGACAGGGAGAAACTGCTCTGGAGGGAATCCTTCCACTGCTCTTTTTTTCCCTCCTACATTCATTTTCCAATAGATGAATCAATGGCTTGTCTGCAAACCATTCTCAGTGACTTAGAGAACTGAAGTAGAAACAGATTCCTTCATGTCTTTTGGGAGGAGAAGGAATGGCTCATCATTCCAAGTAGTCTCACTTGTAGGAGGCGGGGTCAAATTAGGAGTTGAATCTATGAATGTTATGTGTCTGCCTGTATCTGGCATGAAGATTGGATTTCGAATGACATATGTGTTGGCAATGACCGAAAAAATATCAGATTGTGTTGAATATCAGCCTTTTTCGTATTATTATATGTAAGGGTTCAGTTTAAGAACTTTACACAAACTGACACTGTATGTATCAGACAAATCTCACTGGGCTACTTTTACCTTTACAGTAGGTATCCAAACTATTTCACTCTTATCAGATTTTAAAAAGCATTCCATGTTGTCGCCATAAATCAAGAGGTGTTGTTGACCTCAGATTTCTCTCTAAATTTAAACTCTGGATTCCCAATCGTGACCACCTACAGTCGTGACCACCCACAGTGACCGTCACACACAGTTTCACTTTGCTTTTTGTCTGCTTTTCTGCACTTTGCTTGTAGCTAAAGAGATGCTACAGAATACAAAAATAAAACAATTAACAGACAAGCTTGTATGTTTAAATTACTTCACTACAATTTCTCATCAGAAAAAGAGTTGTTATAAACTCTATTCTTGCTTTTAATTGGCCAGTAAAAAGGGATTCTGATCTTACTGTGGGTCTTGTTTGGTGCCCCAGAGACGGCAATAAAACAGCAGTTTTATGATCTTACTTAGCAACCACTTCTGAAAAGAGTCAAAAAATCAGTGACACCTCAAGACAAGCCAATGTCTTTTTTCCTTATCTGCTCCCTTGCATCTTTTACTGTTTTTTTTTTTAATACTAATACATTGTGAGATAACTAGACAGAAAGAAACGCAGAAAAGTATGAGAACTTGTGAACATGGGTGTAGTTCTCCCACAGCCACAAAAGCCTGTGAGAGGATGGTTATGGGAGAGGGCTGACAAAAGGGGGAGGGAAATTAGGCTGGCCAGCATTCTTCTCATTTAAAGCTGTAACTACACAAAAAAGCACTCACGCAGTCGGGGCTGGGTCTGCTTGCTGCTTACAAGGAGAGCTACTCTTGAATTCATGGTGGTGCAGTGCTAACCTGATTTTTTTTTTTCCTTTTCATCCTTTTTCCTCTTGCTTCACGCACAAGAAAGGCTCATGTATTTTTTATAAACATGATGGGTTTTGTGCATTTAAGGAGTTTCCTTTTTCTGGTGGTCTCCATCGCTCACGTTTTGATTGTTACATGTCAAGACGCAACTAGTGGTAAGTGAACTCATCTGCTGTTTATTTTAACACCCAATTGTGTTGAATATAATGTGTGATGGTGGCTGATGGTTGCCCTTTGAATGGACTGGACATTGTGCTGGACGAGTGAGCAGTTGGATTAAGTAGTTCAATGTCATTGTTTTTGCCTGTTTGCTCTTGATTAAAGGAGAACTCATTCTTGATAAGACCTTTTATTACATATTGTTAACTTCCTACACCAAGCATTGGATCTTTTTGCTAAAGTCACTTATCCTCACATGGCAACTTGATGTTCACTACTGCCTTGTTACGAATTGTGGTTTTACAGGACAACAGCTGAAAATGTAGTTACTGCACGGAACATGTGGGTAAGATCTCTGGTAGAGATGATTGAGACAAAACCTACCTAGTTATTAAAGACTAACTTAGTGAAGATTTAATAATAATGGTAGCTCTTATGTGGATTATCTGCAATAGAGGAACAAGCCCTTTATGTCAGGGAACAGTCCTGTGGACATCTGTCAGTGATTGCAAGTGATGTCACCCTCAGGCACTGAAAATGTGCAGTGGAGGGGAAATGAGCACCTTTGCGGTTTTGCATTACTCTTGGACTACTTCACCACTTTGGAACATTCATTAAGTGTTACCACAGCCATTTTCTTCCCCTTCGGACTTATATTGTACATCTGCAGAAAGGATTTCAGCACCAGCGCTTGCGCGCCTCTGAGGGAACACAGACTGCATGTTAATTCAGGCCAGATGTGAGGAGACATTGGAGGAGAGATGCTGTTGGAGCCTCTGACTCACTCTGTGCTGCTGAGGTCTTCAGCTGGCAACACACAGAGCTAGAACACCTGAGTGTTCTTGTTTTACTTGAACTGTGCTTCCCCCTTTTTTTCCCCAACTGAGTGTTTGATCTGGTGTGTCGTCACAGGGACTGTGTTGTTTTTACATATGATGTCATGGGCCACACTGATCACTGGAAAGTTAATTTGATTGGCCCCTGATGAAGAGTTGAGTTAAGCAGTGCCACACAGACAGTACTGTTTATTGTTTTAAAAGCTGTGGATACCTCTGGATAATTTAAGTTTTCTTTGACATTATATCATCAACTAAAATAAGTTTGCTTAATGTGAATTTACGGAGTAAAGCCGAGACAGCTGTGTGATAGTGTGGCATCAGATAGAGCACCACCCTGTGGTGAATGCAGCAAAGGGCCCAACACATCTCTCATACTGTATGCACACTTTTATTGACTAGAAACAAATATTTCTGTCCCTGCCTTTCTGTTTTGTTCCAACATATATTTTAACTCTGCTAATGCTGGACTTAACAAATAGGGTAACACTACAGTTGAATTCATTTCCCCTGCATATATGGACATTGAGTTATCTCTGAAAGAAATACGCGACTGTGAAAGAACAGCTGTACTTGGCTGCTCTGTCGTGATCAGGAAAATGACTTTATGTTAATCTGTTTGTCCCTATTTATTTCAAAGTTCTTATAGGCCTTCTTTTAAACCGTTTTCCATATGCCTGTGTCTCTCTATGTTGAGCACACTTCTTTCCATGGAACAGTGGTGGGTGAGGCGATTGCCTTTGACCAAATGAAAACAGTGGAAAGTTCATGGTTTTGTAGACGAAGGGAAAATGTGGTTCACTAGCTGTGTGTGTGTGTGTGTGTGTGTGTGTGTGTGTGTGTGTGTGTGTGTGTGTGTGTGTGTGTGTGTGTGTGGTGTGTGTGTGTGTGTGTGTGTGTGTGTGTGTGTGTGTGTGTGTGTGTGTGTAGTGTGTGTGTGTGTGTGTGTGTGTGTGTGTGTGTGTGTGTGTGTGTGTGTGTGTGTGCTGTGTGTGTGTGTGTGGTGTGTGTGTGTGTGATGTAGTGTGTGTGTGTGTGTGTGTGGTGTGTGTGTGTGTGTGGTGTGTGTGTGTGTGTGTGTGTGTGTGTGTGTGTGTGTGTGTGTGTGTGTGTGTGTGTGTGTGTGTGTGTGTGTGTGTGTGTGTGTGTGCTGTGTGTGTGTGTGTGTGTGTGTGTGTGTGTGTGTGTGTGTGTGTGTGTGTGTGTGTGTGGTGTGTGTGTGTGGTGTGTGTGTGTGTGTGTGTGTGTGTGTGTGTGTGTGTCTTTTTCACAATATGTCTAGTGTTATATTAAATGTTTTTATACTTTCCCATAAAAATAAATTGCATCATAAAGGGACATTTCTTTTCTCCTTGATTACCTTAGTCTTGACATAAAATATGTAATCTAAGTCAATGGAAGTTCCCGTAGCGAGAAGGTTGGGCTGGATGGATAGGTCAAATAAACACAGTACCTTTGCTGTTTGGTGTCCAGAAACTAAAAGAAAACATTGACTTATTTTAAGTTTAGTTTATAACCTCAGTTGTATAACAACACTGATCTTTGCCTTAACCCTAAGTACTGTTGTTGGGTTTTAAACCACGTGTCAAAAACTTTAAACGTAATCTCGGAGGAATGCTAATGCTAAGCTAACCACCAATGAGGGGCAACGAGAACATCATATGACACACTCAATTGTACACCTTCGAAACAATGCTGAAAATAGAGTACCACTGGGATATTCTGAACGCCAATGGCTACAAATACCAGTGTTCCTCCATTTAATTGGGACTTTTATGTGGAAAGTTGAAACTTTAAATTGAGTATGGTTAAATGTTGATGAAACTAAGTAATTGCAAGCAGTCTCATTGGCTCAGTAAACTATTAACACATTAAAGAATCTTTTTAATGAACTCAGCAAAAGTCCATGTTGAGGACCACAAGGTTATTGTAAAGTTATTGTGAAGATCTGATTAATAGGACTTTTGTAGAATGTATTAAGTCAAGTATGGTTCTTTTGAAGACTGAAAACATCTTTAAAACAAATGTTGATTTTCGTTTTTAGTCAATGGAGTTATGCAGCTCAAAATGAAAGTCATATGGTGGGCTGCACATGTGCGGAAAGTCTGCATGTAAAAGGACATAAGTTGGCAAGTGAGATCAAGGAGCAGACTTTATGCTTTAAGCAGTTGGAAATGGTGACGCCAGTACAGATTACCAGGAAAATAATGTGCATCCTTCATTGAAAACCTATGACCTGGCTGTAACTGGAGAAGCTGACATATTGAAATCCTATTTGGAGAAAAGTTTACCGATGTGAACATGGAAAAAGGAAAATAAAACTGCAATAATAAAACAAATAAAAACAGGAAGCCAGCCCACAGTTTTACCCTGAGAACATTGTGTCTAAGTGCGTAAGTGTGTGTGTGTGTGTGTGTGTCTGTATGTATGTGTGTGTGTTGAACATTGCTCCTCCCAGACGCTGACATAGCTGTAAAACATCTTAAAAGATGCCACTTAGCGCCGTGCATCAAAGACTTAGTCTTGGTTACACCAGTGAATTACTTCATTACTAACATTCATCTTGATTTTGGATATTCACACAGCCAAATCAACTCAAAATGTGTTTCCCTCTGTGTGAGCAACACATGAGCAGAAAGCAAAAATCTGCTATTCAAAATCAACAAAATCTTCATGAGGTCACTGTCTTCCAAATTGGTTCCAGTTGTTGCCACATCACTGACATCGCAACAAATGGGCTGTTTTCTACCAAAGCTGAAACGTCCAAACATGTGAATTCAACCAGGTCCACAGACGGCCCTGATTAGAAACACATGCCGCATTTTTGTGCCATGACTTGATTACACGCCTCTTTTCTCCCAGAGTTTAAGGGGGAGGGGCTCACCGAATTGTACATTGTGTTACACGCTAAGAAGATAACGTTTTTACAGTGGTCTGATATATAGCGTCTGGTGGCGAACGCTGGGGTGTCTTGGTGGCACAGACGAAGGAGTTGATTGATTTTCAATAAAGATTGTGCCTGGAGGACTGCTCCATGGGAACCGCTTATAAACCAAATTATTGCAGTCAGCAAATGGAGGCTTGGGGTGGGGGGATGACTTCCAGATGTTAAAATAGTTGCTTTGGCAGTATTTGGAATATCGTTTAAAACAAAAACGGCTAGATATAGTTGGAAACGGAGAACGATAACTGGATGCAAGATATACAGTGTCTATATTTCTTTACATTGACGAGAGTTTGTATACTACTGGCTCATGGTTTGCCTAAACAGTTTTCTCCCGGAACATTACTCCTCCGCAGGTTCAAGTTAAAGTAACTATTTGTTCGAAAGCCTTGCAATTATAGCTCCCCTCTGACAGACTTCCTGGTCCTTGATTGGCACTTAGTTTCCTCTGCCCTGTCATCCTCTCAGCCTGTCCTGTGGGAGGATGACAGGACACAATGTAAACACAGAAGGGAAGTGCTTCCGGAGCGCTATAATTCTCTTTATTTCATTCTAATTAAGAATGTGCCAAAACTGCTTCTCATACTAGTTACATGGAAGAGATTGGCCCCTTCATTTGATTGTGAGAACCTAAATAAAACTAATTGTACGTCCTACGGCCACCATGGCCTTTGTGCCCCTCACACTGTTAAAATCTCGAAGTTGCTTTGAAAGCGTCAGAGTAGTGGTCTGGTCTCTGACTGCATTATGCTGCGTTCGCAACGGACGCGATGCGAATATTCGCGAGTTTCACCGCGGCTGTCAGCTGTGTTTACTCCTGTCATTCAAGCAGGACGCGCTGGAGAGGGGGCGGTGCTTATATCCATGTAAATACTGTGGTAGAAACCAACTACAACAAAATTCACATATTTTACCGTGATTTAATTGTAATAGGCCTACACGTTTAAAAAATGATGCCGAAGTAACAAAATACTGATTCCGGTTAGTAAAAAACATGAATTAATGACAAGACGGCAGGCGAAAAACCTTTTAAAATGCGTGTTTTCTGAATGGAGATCAGATCGATCAGGCTAAACTAACCTGTAGCTGCTCTGTCCACACTCACAACAACGTCCTAAAGACAGAAATAAAGCAGCGACTGTATTCGCCATGACACAGACAGTCTGTGGTTTGTACTTGTTTAACTTTTGTCCAGTTTCTGAACAGATATGAGGAG